GAGAAGGCTGAGGTTCTCAATGACTTCTTTGCCTCAGTCTTCACTGGCAAGAGCTCCAGCTGCACAGCCCAAGTCACAGAAGGCAAAGGCAGGGACTGTGAGAATGTAGAACCACCCACAGTAGGAGAAGTCCAGGTTCGAGAACCTGAAGGTGGACAAGTCCATGGGACCTGATGAGGTGCATCTGCGGGTCCTGAGGGAGCTGGCGGATGAAGTTGCTAAGCCACTATCCATCATATTTCAGAAGTTGTGGCAATCTGGTGAAGTTCCCACTGACTGGAAAAGGGGAAATATAGCTCCCATTTTTAAAATGGGAAAAAAGAAGACCCAGGGAACTACAGGCCAGTCAGTCTCACCTCTGTGCCCAGCAAGATCATGGAGCAGATCCTCCTGGAAACTATGCTAAGGCACATGGGAAAAACAGGAGGTGATTGGTGACAGCCAACATGGCTTCACTAAGGGCAAATCCTGCCTGACTAATTTGGTGGCCTTCTATGATGAGGTCACAGCATTGATGGAAAAGCGAAGAGCAACTAACATTATCTACCTGGACTTGTCCAAAGGATTTGATACTGTCCCACATGATATCCTTGTCTCTAAACTGGAGAGACATGGATTTGATGGATGTACCACTCAGTGGATAAGGAATTGGCTGGATGGTCGCACTCAAAGAGTTGTGGTCAACGGTTCAATGTCCAAGTGGAGACCAGTGACGAGTGGTTTTCCTCAGGAGTCAGTACTGGGGCCGGTGCTATTTAACATCTTTGTCAGTGACATGGACAGTGGGATCGAGTGCACCCTCAGCAAGTTTGCAGATGACACCAAGCTGTGTAGTGTTGTGGACACGCTGGAGGGAAGGGATGCCATCCAGAGGGACCTTGACAGGCTGGAGAGGTGGGCCTGTGAGAACCTAATGAAGTTCAGCAAGGCCAAGTGCAAGGTCCTGCATGTGGGTCGAGGCGATCCCAAGCACAAGTACAGGCTGGGCGGAGAATGGATTGAGAGCAGCCCTGAGGAAAAGGACTTGGGAGTGCTGGTGGATGAGAAGCTCATCATGAGCCAGCAATGTGCGCTTGCAGCCCAGAAAGCCAACTGCATCCAAAGAAGTGTGTCCAGCAGGTCGAGGGAGGTGATTCTGCCCCTCTACTCTGCTCTCGTGAGACCCCACCTGGAATACTGCGTTCAGCTCTGGAGTCCCCAACACAAGAAGGACATGGAGCTGCTGGAACGAGTCCAGAGGAGGGCCACGAAGATGATCCAAGGGCTGGAACACCTCTGCTATGAAGACAGGCTGAGAGAGTTGGGGCTGTTCAGCCTGGAGAAGAGAAGGCTCCGGGGTGATCTTATTGCAGCCTTCCAGTACCTAAAGGGGGCCTACAGGAAAGCTGGAGAGGGACTTTTTACAAGGGCGTGTAGTAATAAGACAAGGGGCAATGGCTTTAAACTGAAAGAGGGCAGATTTAGATTAGATCTAAGGAAGAAATTTTTTACTGTGAGGCTGGTGAGGCAGTGGAACAGGTTGCCCAGAGAAGTTGTGGCTGCCCCATCCCTGGAAGTGTTCAAGGCCAGGTTGAATGAGGCTTTGGGCAACCTGGTGTAGTGGAGGGTTTCCCTGCCTATAGCAAGGGGGTTGGAACTAGATGATCTTTGAGATCCCTTCCAACCCTAACCATTCTATGATTCTATGATTTCCATATGTGGTATTCTAACTACAGTTGTGGGCTGGCTTGCTCTACCCATGCAACCAAGTGATTTGACCCGCAAGCATGTCAATCAGATGAGGATTAAATGCCTGTTCTACCATTTCATTATCTTGGCAATTTATTACCCTATTTTCATTTTTGAAACATTAGTGGGATGTGATGGTTGAAGCTTAGCCCCAGGAAGCTGTTAGAGGATTGCCGAAAGGTGGGATGAAGTTTCTGTTTGTCGTTGACCTTATTTTTATTTTCAGATATTTATTGTGATGTAAAGCTATGCATTACATCGCAAGTTATTTCTAAGATACTGAATCTTCTACTGGGCTTAAATCTGAGGAATGATGGAGAGAAAGTCTGTAGGATGAATATGAGCCCCTACTCAAGTTCTGCAGAACTTATGTACAGCAGGGGTAACGTTTTTCTGGTGTGAAGTGTGCGCTGAACGTCCAGTGGTTCTGAGTGATTGTGGATTACTTTTTCGTCTTGTATTAAATTCTAGTTTAATCCATTTGAAATAGCATTGGATTGTGATAGCCTTCAGAGCACCAACAATCTCTGACAGCTAGTACCAGCAGATCTTAGGAAGTAGAACAAGATCAGAACAATCATCTAGGCATGTTTCTCATAATACATTCCCAACCTCCAGCAATTTGTGATTTAAGGATTTTCTGAAGCAGAGTTGGGGTTTCTGTATTAAACAGCCTTGATGGATTTTTCTTCCACAAATTTGTTTGGTTACTTTTTTGAACCCATGTAAACCTTTACAATCCATAACCTCTTCCCAGAAGGAGCTGCACAGTTTCACGTTTTGTGTGAGAAAATATATACTTTTGTTTTGAATCTTCCATCTGCCTCGACATCCCATCGGGATTCTAGACGAAAGGGTTTCCTCTTCCGTGTATGCCTATGTAGCATGGACACTGCTGCCAAAGAATTGTATAATCTCCATTATGGGAGATTTCTTCCCAAGAGGTTGCATGAATGGGACAAATCCGACCTTTAAAAGGCAATTTTAGAAGTTCTTCGTTTTTATTGAAATGTTCTAATAGGATGACCAGTGTTAAAGATTACATCTAAAAATGATGGGCGAGAGTCCCAGTTGAGGACTGATCTAAAGATCCCTGAGACTGATGGAATGAAAAAGCAATACTGACTAAAGACCTGTTTCCCACACATTCTCTAGTAGTGATTTCAGTGCAGTTCGAAACTCACTCTTCTGTCAGCTTACAGCCACAGCACATAAACAAATGAATACCCCAGTTTTACTGAGCAGAATTCCGACTCTGGAAACACATCAATGCCTTTTTCTAGGTGTCCTGGTTTTAGCTGGGACATTTAGCTCTTCTTTTTAGCAGCTACAAGAGCTCCGTGTTTTGGTTTTACTCAGAGGCTCGCTCTGAGAAGGATGCTGATAGTAAGCTGGTGTTTGTGGTTGGACGTGAGACTCCAAGGACTTTTCAGTGTGCCGGAGTGCAGAAGCACGGCGGGATAATGGGGGAGCATAGTTGGGACAAGGGGGACACGATTCCCCTTGTGATTTGTGGTGGAACTTAAGACTGAGGGCCAAACTGGCCAATTAGTATTCCATATCATGCAGTGTCATGCCCAGTATAAAAGTGAGGGACAGCCGGGAAGAAGGGCTTTTGCGCTTTGGCTCTTTTGCTGCTTTTGCTCTTTTGCGCTTGCTGCTTTATTGCTTTTGTTTCTTTTTCTCTCTCTCCCAGTACTCCCACTCTCGGAGTACTATCTCTTTCTCTGCCCCTCTCTATTTCGGGGCCTCGCATTCGTCTGGGATTGCAGCTTTGGGACGAGACGGGCTTCGCATACGAGGGGGTGGTGAGCATCTACCCTGTGTATTAAATCATCTGTATTAAATTGTTCTTATCTCAACCCACGGGTTTCCCGTTTATCCTTTAATTCTCTCCCTCATTCCTGGGGGTAGGGGAGGGGGAGTGACCGGCTGTGTGGGGAGGTTCAACCTAACCCACGACACTAGGCCAGATCACCTACATGATGATTGCCTCTTTTCATGGAAAAGTAAACCTGAAGGCTGTGGTTTCCTGCTTAATGCCTACAACCAGTTTAAAGATGCAGGTATATAATTGAGCTAAGTTCCAGCAAAATTAGTGTAAGTAAGTCTTTCCCTTCCACAGGGTTGGATTGTATTCTAAATGAGGTACCTTATTAAGAAAAGATGTGACTAAGCACATAAACAGTAAGAGTGACTTCCATTCTACATGCTTTGTTTCATGACTGAATGCTTTAATATAAAATTTAATACTCGTTCTCCAGAAAGACTTTATTGGCAAGCTGACTCGCCGTTGTTATGTACAACTGATGAGAAAACTGAGTTATTCACTGGCAAACAGATGAATTCTTTGGAGAACTGACTAAAATGAATGCAATAAATTTTTGCAAATAAGAAATAAATATACTTATTAAATCTAAATTTTAGTTGAAGTGATATCATATCTGACAGATCTCTGGGTAAAATAGTATGTGAAACTGCATATTCAAGTCATGTTAATTGTGAATGTCTATATAGTGTTTCCAGCTAGTAAATACTGATCTGATTGTAACTGCACTGCTCAGTTTGCATAGCAGATTATTGAAATTAAATTAATGAAATCCGAATAAAATATTCCGAACAATATTGCTGCCACAGCACACAATAGTGGACTCTCAGTTAAGGCATTCATTTTATCCCCTTTAAACCAAATGAGAACAGTTTTTAGCATGGCCTGGAACAGAGGATAAATTTTGCAAGCATAATGATTGAGCACACCAATGTCCTACAGTTGGTTTAAGATTTGAAGCTTATAGTTTCTGCATCGTTTCTGTTTTTCCTCCCACCAATTGTAGATTTTAGAAACAAACTATCATATTTGAAATGAAAATATTTTTACTGCAAAATGTCTCTATTTTTGAGGATAGCACCATCCAGATTGTTCTCAAATTAGCCCCATTAAAGGAGCATGAGAATGCTATTACTTGCATCCAATTGCTAGTGTTTTAAGACACCAAGGCCCAGATACACAAAGGGACATCATGGGACTCAGAGAAATAACGGTTGAGCATTTGGCAGCTCTGAGAGTGGAATTTAGATGGTTTGGCTCCATGGATGTAGGCTTTGAGTTCTCTGTAAAGCCACATACTTGTAAAGTAAAATCTCATTCCTTTCTTGCTGCTTAACATGTCACTTTAGTATTGCATAGGCAGACATAATGTCCTCTTCTGGGCACTGGCTACATTAACTGAGTGGCTGCATCATAAAGAGCTGGTACTGGCCACAATTTTACTTTATATTTGTTTCTTTGTGTAATTTCCATGCTGTCTTGAATGATTGTTTCCCTTTTATGAGGAGGTATATGTTCAAAACCATTAAACAATTGTGTTTCATTAGCCACATGTTAATCAGTTACCAATATTAGTAATGCTATGGCAGTGCTCCAGCCCAGATTCAGTTGGAGTTTCCAGTAGAATCCCTACCTTTCACAGGGCATGGAAGCGTGCTTCACACTGGAACATACTGTTTATTATATTCTAAAACAGATACCTACCTCCTGTGCCATACTTATTAGAGGGAAACAGTGCAGCATATTGCTCATCAGCACGCACAGATCTAATGAGAGCATGCTGACATTGTTAATAGAAACAAAGTAGAAGGATAATTTAGTCAAAAAGGAAGCAAAAAATTTGAATGCAATATGATACTGGAAGCTCAAAAATATACAAGCTTTGTGCGCTAAGTCCTGTAGAAGTACTGAGCTAAAAAGTAAAAGGGATAGCCCAGAGTTCCCTGTTGACAGGGAGTCCACAGTGCACATAGCTGCTGTATTACAACAGCTGGTATAAATCTTCAGCCCTGGGATCTTTGGGATTGTCTTCTGATATTTATTTGTTATGCTCTAGGGATCATGCTTAATTCACTAATCTTTAGAAGTACTAATATAGCTCTCATCATTTTAATGTTAGATGCTAGCATCTGTTTGAGGCGTTTTCCTGCCATCACAATGGAAAGGAGTACTTATGGCAGAACAAGCACTCTGCAAATTTAACTAACAAATTCCATATGCAAAGTAAAACACTACGTGGTCTGGACCCACACTATAAAAGACAATTATTGCCCAAATCCTCTTTGGAGACGTAAGAGGTAGACAGAATTAGGGTCAGAGTCAGAAGGGTATTTAGGAGCCTGTCTCTTGATCGATATCAGTAAAGCTGGGTGCCTAAATACTTGTTTCAAGTTTAGTTACCAAAGCACTTCTGATAATCTGGGGCTTAGTGCAGTCAAAGGAGACATACATCTGTAACTGTATTTTGCTTCATAACTATTCTACAAATTTTAGAAATCTTAAGAGTGGGCTGGAAATGAACTCTCTATGAAGGATATGAAGGGTATGAATTCTTGCAGAATCATATTAGAACTGAGATTAACAGGAATACTATCCAGAATTTTTTTAAAAAAGAAAAGTTGTGTGCAATAGACTAGCAAGATATACAGTATCTACAGAAATAAGAGAGTGAAACCGTGCATGCTGTGTTTTAGGCTTTTTATTTTATAAGTAAAAGGAAAACTGAATTGCAAGACATTTATAGCCCTGTCAAATGGTCAGGAGTGTGATAAGTCCTTCTCTTGTCAGTACTGTGAGATGTGGAAAAAGGTGACATCTATGTTATGTAAAAAAAGGATTTAAAATAGTGTACAATATGTGTGCTTTTAGCTTAGTGAATTTCCTTGTCTGATTTTCTAGCCTGGACAGAGAGAACACAAAGCCCTATCCACGCTCATCTGTGGAAGATGAAGGAGGAGAAGAAGCAAAGAAAAGTATTGTGAAAGAAGATAGAGGAAAAAAGAAAAAGAAGAGGAGAGCAGAAGACAAAAGATATTCCAGGGAGAGGATGTCAGACTCTGATGATCTTTTGCTTGTCTCCAGAAGGGAAGTAAAACAGAGAGGAAGAAATTCACTGCCTAGCAATGAAGAAGATTTCGAAGGTAAAGAAGTAGATCTAGAAAATGATAAATATTAGGGATTAAATAGATCTGGTAGGCCTTTAGTTAATCCCCACACAAGGAACCTGAGTTCTGCATTATCTTAGAATTCTGAGTGTTATACCAGCCTGCATTCCCATGTCCTATGTGATAGGGTTCTTTCACCTCCTTTAGAAACCATTCTTCTCACTGATCATTCTCAGCATGTGTTTCCATAGTAAAGTGAAGAACTGAATAAAGTGTGTTCTGGCATATTCTACTTAATTTACCTAACATTTGTAGTAGCTTTGAAGATGCAATAACACCAACCTTAAGTACCTGCTAGTAAGCAGAGTATATATTCCAGTCCCTCTACTGTTTGGTACTCGTTAGAATAAAAGTATGTCTATATTGCAGGCATTAAATTATCGCATATGGAGCTCAATGCTTCAGAGTTTAAATTATTTTTAGTGTCTGAGCTAGCTCAGTTAAAACTGACATCAGTATCGATACTCCTTGTCATTCTGTAGTACAGACCCAGACTACTGTAGGAATGTCATTACATGCCATGGTCAGCTCTTCATTATAAAGATCCTATTGTCAGTGGAATGATAAGAGGACTTTTATCTATTACTGCTAGTTGTACCTCTTGTACTATTTTAAATATGTTCTCGACATCCTCATTAATTATTTACTTCAAGAAGTATTGGATTATAGATTCACTCAATCATCATGATGTCAATCAACTTGATTTGGCTCCTCTGAATTTTCCTTCTATGTTCTCACTCCTTTTAAAGATTGTCTGCAAATTCCATTTACATTGCTTGTAATGGGTATTATGGCGCCACTGCATTTTAGGAGTAGTCTGGTCAGAATTATATGGGAACAGAGGTACTGGGCTTGTCCTGTAGCTATATGAGAGACGATGGCTTCTACAGGTAGGGATGCTTCACTGGAAATGCTCAGTTATCCCAGACTTCTCCCTCTTGGGTATCTTGAGATAAGATGCTGAATAAATATGAAATGATTCTAATGTGATCAGCAAGTCCTGTTACTGATTCCATGCAGGCTGAAGGAAAGATTAAATGAGGGCAGTGGCTATCTATGCACTTGAACCCTGCCTAGTCTCACCAAATAATCTCATAGTACTCTGTCAAGACTCTAACAAGACTTCAAGGTGGTATGCAGGTTGAATATGCTAAAGAGGGTACGCTGTCCTCTTCTCATGACACCATGGACATTGGATATGGCTCTTTTTGCTAAAATATATTTTCATTTTAATATTCTTCTGTGTTTTATCAGAAAGGGGAAAGTCAGAGAGCTGAAACACCCTGTTTTCATCTTCAGACACCTACATAACCCTGAAATCTCGATTGTTGCCCTTCATACACTGAACACAGAAATGTTCATCAGAGTGATCCATTACCTGATTTTCCTAGTAGTTGCTTTCAATACTTCATTATTTCTTGATTACATGCAACAAAAGCAGATTTTTTTTTTTAAATTAGAGTCAGCATCTCAGAGAAATGTTTTGAATACCTGCAAATACCATGAATAGTTAAAGCTAATAACTTTGGTACCTAAATATATTTTACAGTAACTAGTTTATACCTATTTTGTTGAGATTTCTAAAGGCAGTCTGTTAAACTGGGAACTGGTTTATCTGAAAGATGCACAATCCTCCCACATATTCTTTTCCTTGTAATATCTAATACCTGAATAGTTTGCATATCTTTTAACTTTCAAAAAGCTCAATAGTCCTGGTCTATTTGCCTGAAGTCAAAGCTTTTTCTCCATATTTATACCCAATAGTTTTTCATGAATGTTAATATGTGTGTAATGTGTTAAAAGCATTCAATGCCATCAGCAATTCCTACATTTCTTTTCCAAAGGTTTGTCTTGTCACGTCTTATGAACTCTCCAGATACATATATATGTATTTTTAAACAATCTGATTGGGCTGTGTTTTGTAACTAGACTATGTGCTAATCAACACTTCTTCTGATAGTTCTGCTGACTTCATGCATATATTTCTCTGTTATATGAGGAAGTAAGTTCTCCTGAGCTTGAATGAGCGTTGCCCAATATAGAGATGGATTTTTGTGCTCTCCAAAATACTGTGGATTCTGCTACATAGCTCTTATATAGGTGGTTGATGAAGCCCTGTATTTCCACGAAGCCTTATATTTCCACAGAGCTGTGGATCCAGTATAAATTAATGGAGTATTTTGGAATGTTTGTGGTTTGGTTTATGCTCAGTTAAAATATTCCTGATAGGAGGAATCAACATTCCGTTCCTGTTATTCCCACTCAGGGAAACAACATTAACAGAAGTGAATAAAGATTAGGTAATTGTGTTAGTTATTTAGTGTATATTAGCTTCGTTATTGTGTTGATGTGTAATTTTGTCTTATTTATTCTAGAACTATTATATTTAACAATTCCAGAATTATTATATTTAACACATTATTATTTTAATGTGTATGCCTACTGCTCCTATTGTGTTAGTTAGTTCTGTATGTTTATGAGAGTGAATGAAGTCCTGGCAAATTCCCACTGTTAGTGGGCCAGTGATTCTTTGTCTAGGTAACTCAAACAAAACTATTTGATTGAACAAAATCACAAATACTTAACTGATTGGTTATTGCAATCATTGTTTTGATAGATACTTTAAAAAACATGTATTTGTTTCAATAGGAAAATTCTTCTCCCTGTCTTTCTAGTTTTCCCTCTGTTCTGTAATGCCTAAAATCAATGTTAATTTCACATGATTTCCTTGTTGATTTTCCAAAATGATGATCTAGTAAAAAACTAAATCAGAAAACACTTCAGAGGGAAGTACAGGTATGATATATAGTAACAGACTGCATTGCCTGATGTGTTAGCTAGCATAGCTAACAGAGCCTAAATCTCTTTTTAATTTGTAATGAGATGTGACTTGAAGCAATTACACTGATAATTACTGTAACTGCCAATGCAGGGTAGGTGGGAAACCTTTGAAAATTGTCATTTTGTATCCTTTTCTGTGGCAAACCTAGTTCCTCTAAATTGAGTTCAAGAGCGTAACAGCTGTGGCACCTGGCAGTCTAGTGGCTTGGCTGGGTTTCCCACAGCAGGATTTCACATTTTTAGCACCCACTTGTTTTCCAATCTCATTTTCCAGATAGTTCATTCAGCATTTGGAGAAGGCTATCATAATAAAGCAGTGTTCCCATCTGTTGGTCATGGCTTGTTTAATAAGCAGTTAATGTCAATTCAGCTACGCTTGCATCTGTTACTTACTGCAGCTGTGTGTTGTTAAGGGCTCCCCAACAGCCTCCAGATTTAGCTTTTGTTTTTCTGTTGATAGCATGTTACAACTTGGCCAAAACGACTCTCTCTTCTGTCAGGGTTTTCTGCTCATCAAAAAAGGAAAGCGTGTTAAACTTTCCGTCTCTTTCCCCATAAAGAGTGACTCATGGAGATGTGCAAAGGAAGAAAGTGCAGTTCCATTGGTGTAGGAGGCATATGTTGGAATATTTGAGTGGGAAAAGGAAGGGTGATTCTATCCAGATTCTGGGAGTGAGACCAGAATGGTTTCTTTCAACATCTTGGGAAAGTACATAGAGAGCACGTGCACTGGGTAAAGAACAGAGACGGTTTGTGAATTGTATGTGATGGGGAACACTCATTTAACAGTGCATCTTTAATTTTATTCAAGGCAGCAGTATGGCTGAAATACCTTTCAGTATTTTAGTCTGGCAATATTTTTGTACTGCACACAGATACCATCAGCTTATAGGATAGTCAAGAAACTTCCTGAACTTCACACAGGAGAACTCCAGATTCCTATCTCAGGTTGCCCAAGAAGAATCAGAATGTTCCTTTTGTGTGTCGAAGTGCTGACGTTGTATCAGACGATTTCCAAAGGCACGCTTTTGATTTTTAAACCCTCAGCTTCAGGATTTTCAGTGGTAGCTATGAATGATCAACATTCCTAAAACTAATCATACTCGTGTCTCGTACTCTCTACGTAGTGGGTCTGTGCCGTTGCTTCCCCACCCTGTGTATCATAACTTTATTTTTCAAACGCCTCCTGAAGTTCTGTTTTCTGCTACACAAGTGTTTATTATACAATCATTTAAAGGCCAAACCCCTCCCCTAAAGGAATACATGAAGCAAAATCGAGCATGCAATTTTGTTTACTTTGTTTCTTCCTGTTTTATTCTCTTTCATTTTTCCTTCTGCTGCCAGTCTTTCGCCATTCCTTCATTATGATTGTCATCATTTTGTGCCAGAAGGGTGCTTAGTAGTCAGTAGTCTCATTTGATATGGTTGCAAAAAGTGACTTTTCAGTGACACAATATTGTTAATAGCAAACCAGAGAAGATAAACATGGTCATACTGGGTCAGACAAAGGTCCATGTTGCCCGGACCCTGTCCACAGCAGTGGATAGAAGATGATTCCGAAGGAAGAGTAAGAGCAATGGTTGGCATGTGAATAATAACAGCTACAAGCTTAGAAAATAAGAATACTTAAAAAGCAGACTGGTTTGAACTTGTGAGGATGAAAGCAAAAAGGAAAGCAGTGAAAAGCCTCTTTACACAGGACTATTGCTCTGTTACCATAGTCATTTGTTCCATGATAAATTTTGGGGGGTGTGTTGGGGCAGTGTTGAACTGTTATATCCAAGGTCATGGTAGGTCAATATTTTCTCTGACTAAGGAGTACCTGTTCTCTCCTAGCATCTTCATTCTACGTTTCATCATCCTGGCATTCATCAAGGTGTCGAACTCTGCAGTCACTGAGTGCTTCAAATGCCAGCTCACTAAACCATCCCTGTTGCTTGCACAGTCCTGCTGTAGAAAAATCTCCAGAGCCTGGTAAAAGCAACATCACCAGAATTAGTAGAGTCAATATGGAGCAGCAAGGATTGGAAAGACACCGCTGCACAGAGCAAAGGAAGCCACGTTAAAGGTGCATGACAAAGGAGCTTGTGAGGAAAGGATGAGGCTGCAGATAGGAAAGATTTTTAGCCCCTGTAACTATGAAATTGTATTCCTTGAATCAAAAATAAACTAATTAATGCTAAATTATTTATGATTTTGCAGACTTGCTTTGGAGATATGAAAGAGAAACAGTGTCAGAGGTTCAATTACGCTGCTGAAAAATATCAATATGAGAAGAAAGAATGGAAAATTTTATGTGTCTGAGTATCCTCTGTTTGCAGTAGACCTATTTGATTTATTAACTGTGGGTCTTTCTTACAAAATGACTATTTCCAAAAGTCCTTTTTCACAGACTCAGTCTGTAAGGCATCTGGGAAGACTTGATGCAGGAAGCCTACCCAGTTTTCACTGGTGCTGACATGTAACTGTCCTAAGCTTTTCCATGAGAACACTGATGAGGTGCTTTGCCCTTGAAGGCTAAGCTCTTAGTAACACAGACTAGACCAAGGGCTGAATTCTTCTCTATGACATTTGATATAAAGCCAGTGCTACTCTGAAGGTGGAGGAATTGCTTCAGTGTTACAGCATTATAAATGAAAGCAGGAATTGCACCTAGACACATTTAGGAGCATCTGTACTCTTAGCTCCCAAATAATAGATAGGTGACTGAACCCAATGAAAAAAAAAAAAATCCAAGTAAAGATTCATTTTTCTATCTAACAAATATAATGTGATATTCACTGTCCATGACAGAACATTTGAAATGGCACACAGTCAGGGGGTTGTAGCATCTTTAGCACTGAAGATCCTCACCTCAACCAAAGCATGACTTGTGGATGTAGTGACACAATTGTCTAGAGCTTTCTATTAAGAATGTGAAGACTGATTCTCAACATTTTTGGCATATCAAAGTGAATGGACATTAAAGGTTCTTGCAAGCTTAACTGTAGATACCTGTGCAATTTCCAGGCAGATGTATGTATTTATCTTTACATTTGAAGTAAAGTGGAGTTGAAAAGATACACTTAACCAAATAGAAACAGAAGGTAGACAACCAAAGTATACATACGTATATACTGTGACCCAGTGGTACATTTATATTCAGTGAATTACAGCTTTTATGGTAGCCAGTTTAAACACAGACCTTTTTTGTGTTCCAGATACGTGACACATTTATAACTGGGTCTAATTGCTAGGATATTCTTCTGCTTTGATGTAGCAGTAATGTCTCAGGTCTTTTACTTTCCTTTGTTACCTCCTCTACACTTTGATTCTTCTCTTTTTAGATATCTTTTTCAGATGAAGACTATTCTTAGATTAACATTGCATTATTATTATTACATTCCACATATCTTTCTGAATAAATTAGCAAATACTAAAGATTGCTGCATGATTAAACAAAGAGTAATAGAGACAATTTCACCTTACAGATGGTGTCTGGCCCTCCTGACTCTTCTGGATACCCAGAGTATAACATGGTTACTGCAGATTTCAAATGACAGTGACAGGAGTGCTGTGCTGGCTGTTCCCAGGGACTCTAGGGCCCTGATAGAGCCAGTGATATGGCGAGCCAAGGACATCTCTGCAGCTAAGCATAGATTTCTGCATGTTGTTGGAGAGGCTTTTGCACAGACATGTGAGGAAATAATTTCCATCAATGGCAAAATGAGGAGCCGCTCAGAGAAGGAGAAGGTGCCACATTATTTTCAGATTAATAGGTGTCCCCTCCTATAGGAAAACTAAAAGTACCACACTTAATACCCTGTTTTTCTTGGGCTCAACAAATAGCTGTGTTTCTATATACAAGCACATTGAAAATCTCAAGCCTCGCTCTGTCTGTGCTTCACATTTTTAACAGCCATTAATATGAAATGAGAATATCTTGATGCCATCATTTAGGAGAGAGTATAAAAATATGTATATATTTCCTTAGTCAATGGAGGCAAACAGAGACTTTGAAGATATATTTTAGACATCTCCTTTCACATGCTTCCTTTAGGCATATTACAAGTGCCTACTCTAGGCAGCTACTTTAGGTGCACACTTGGACAGGAAAATCCTATGCACTGTCTATGCAGATAAGTATTGCCCAGGAGAACACTGAGCTATCAGTTTTGGGAAAATTTTGAGGTTTTTGATGCCTGTTTCTATCTCAGTGTTGAGAGAAAAAAAAAAAGCATACAGATATTTTTATTTAGTAAAGGAGAATTACAGAGTTTGTGTAGCCAGAACGACCTTGCAGCCAGGATACTTCAGTGGGATGTGAGGGAGAGTGTTGAAATTTCTGCCTAGCCTGATTCAGAGAAGACACAAACCTGGGAAAAAAACTGGATAATTCTCCAATGGTCTATCTTGGAAGTTGCAGTTTGGATAGTTCATGCTACCTTCTGTTCTGCAGGTCAAGCTCTTTGCTTACACCATGATGTCCTGGAGTTTTCTCTTGGAGAATGGAGCTAGCACACACACGGTGTCACTGGTTATAGGGATTCACTGGAGATCTGGTCTATGCAGAGGACAAATTGGAAGTGATATCACTAAAACACAGCATCCATGAAATTTTAGGACAGGATAGCTCAGAAGCATTATTTTTATTGTGAACATGAACACTTTGGTTTTCTGGAGGAAATGACACTACCAGTGAAGAGAAGAGTCCTGTAAATTGGTAGAAAAGATATTTCAATGAGAACTTTGTTGAACAGAAAATCTGCTTTTCCCCCAAGAACTGCATTCAATCACATGGACATTGGAATCTATCAGCTCATATTTTTAGTAGAATATGCACCTGTATCAGACTAAGTCAGCACTGACATGATCAACCCAATGTTTTTTGTGGTTACTGTGTATTTGGGGCTGAACTTGTGCAATTCCAATGACAAGAACAAAACGAGTGTGGGCCAATTTTGCAAGTACCTATTGTTCAAGTATGTGCAGATAGATTTTATGCCACCCCACAGTGACAAAGACTGGGATCCCCTTGAAAAAATGGCTGAAGAAAACTTCCCTTAGTATTCCCCTGGGTGCAATACAAATTTGTGAGTATAAATACAAACAGGAATGTTAACCAAGCGCAAGATCAAAACTGGCAGCACAGGTAGTCAGAATGGTGAATTATTTTTCTATGTAAAGAGTGATCATCAATCACTGTTGATTCTTTAGACAAGCTATATTTAAAGACTGATTTATTATAAAAATATGGATGGTGATGGATGAGTTCCCTTCTCACTTGTTATTAAGGATCCATTTCAGTGCTCCTTTCCGAGTGTGCAGTCTGACCTGGAGAAGCACCTGTCATGGGATAACATTTATTAATTTTCCCTACTGCGGCCCACAAGACCTTTTTCCTGCCTGAGTTTGGTTAAATGCTTTGTTGCATTGCTTTGTATTAAGCCTGGAAATCATCAGGATTATTTATTCTTTTCATTCAGACATTCCTGTTGGTCCGTTTGCACAACACAAGCTCTGTCCTGACTTCCCCATCGTGGTGCAGGTGCACAGGAGGTTATGTTTTCATATACTTGCTTCTTCCCTCCGATCTGTTTTAAAGTGGCAAGTAGTATTATGGTGGTCTGTCAACAAGATGAATTTTCCAATTAGATTTGCCAGATGGCTGAGCTTGACTAGGATGGCCTAATTTCAGATTCTGTTAATAGAGCATAACCAGATCACCAAAAATCCGGGTTGCTGCTTCCTCACATTGCCTCATACAAAGTTGGCAGTGGTGGAGTTTGGGTTGCCTGTCTGGCTTTGGCACTGGCCAAGGCTATGCTCAGACTTCTTTGTGATTCTTTTCCATCTAATAGGATGGTACTCTTCCTATTCATTCCCCTTCCCCCTTCACTTCTGTTTCTTTTTGATAAAGAAAGACAGTCTACAAAACAAAACAAAACAAAAAGTCATATTCATCCCCACCTGCATTTGTCATTCTGGATCAAACTCTGGACACCAGGAGCTGAGACTCAGTCCCTGGCATTCAGAATTACACACATTTATTGGTGCTGCACAAGAAGGTAAAAAAGAAATACTTTATTCTGGACTGCTTGGTTGAGCAAAAGAGAATTGTAGGAAGAGAATGCTTGCCAGCTAGCTGTCATATTGGTAGTGTGGCCATGAAACTCCTGAGATTTAAGGGAAGTAAGGATAAAAGGAGAAATGAGAATAAAGGCTTTTATGAGACCAGCTGATAGAACTGGAGGATGTAGAAAAGCTTTTGAGATTGAATTCCTTTAGAAAGTTATCAGTAACCTCCTACACAGTTGTGAATCCATGAAATCAGATCAATGCCCTATCTTCCAAGAAAAAGGGCAGCTCCATGGAAGAGCTTTGGATAGCAAACTGGCTCAATCTGCACAGGTAGGCAAAGGACCTTTTCCTCCATGGCTAGTTCCTTCCTTGTCTAGTGAGAACACTGCTAACTTGACTGCTGCATAAATACAACTGGGCTCCAAAGAGCTGTCATTCTCTAAAGGACACTGTGAGAGATCACATAGCTGCTCTTAACCACACATCTGCAGTGCTCCGAGTGGATCTGAGGCCACCTGTAACCACCTCCTGTTGATAAAACGAGGGTGTTAGCATCAAACCTGATGTTTTCAGCCAGCTGTGAGGTGCTTCTCCCGGGAGGAGGGGATGCTTGGCAGACAAGGGTGCAGTCCTATGCCGACTGCTCTTGAACACTGAGCAGTTATCAGTGCCAGTCCTCCCCACACTGGCCCTGGAGGCAGACCAATAGCATTAAGCAAGTGCTGTCCCTGCCCAAATCCCAAGATGAGGTTTGCTGATGAAGCCTTGCTGCTTCTGGAAAGACACACATCAAACTGGCTCAGTATTACCAGGTTCCAGTTTAATAGAAAACATGCTGAAATGCGAAACCACGTGAGGGTTGATTTTGGCACATTGTAAGTTCAGTCTTCTAATTAAAGGCCTGTAAGAAAAGGTTAGACGCAATACAAACACATCTGTGGCCTAAACTGAACACCAGCTCTTCTTGCCCAATTCTTATTCCACTCCAACCAGCATTTAGGGTTGG